AAAAGAAGAACAAGAACAAGAACAAGAACAAGAACAAAAACAAGAACAAGAAGAACAAGAACAAGAACAAGAACCAAAACAAGAACAAGAAGAGGAAACTCACCAGTGTCCACTCAATGGTTGCTCTAGGGGCTCCACCGTAAAATAATATAATCAATATGTTTCAATAACATTAACTTTTTTTCGGGAACACCACTCTCAAAAGCGTGTATAAACCAGTATGATTGCTACATTGATAAAAATTCAAGATGCCCGTACATCCCAATTTGGTTAGAAGCAAGTAATGTCCTATGTTGATAACTGTATATTCTTTACATCAACGGGTTTTTGTTGGATTTATCAGTTCAATTAAAATAAAAGTTGAGTAATGTGCAGTTACGATACAACAACAGGAAAGCAGTGAAAGCCATTTTGCTCATTAGTTCACAAATATAACTAAGATATCATAGTTCCAGCTGTTTCTGAAGAGAGTAGGCCTATTTATCTATCGTTTGGTACTTCCAGGATGAGCAGTATCCTCCATTCAACTAGCATAAAAAAACCAACAAAAAAAGAAACAACACCACAAACAAAAACAAATCCCCTATCCAAGCCTTTTTTGCATCCCTGGAACTCAGCAATTATAACAGGAAATAAACATGAAACGGTATCAAGGTATATTTTCTAAAAACTACTACCTCAGTTTTGTAACAGTGTCCACAAAGTAGCGAGTTGGGCAGTGCATGCAGGAGATGTGAATTCGATTCCCTTTTGGATATGATTTTTATAGAGTATCTCGATATAATTTCTGCTATATCATCTCATTCTAGGCAGGGTGGAAGCAGCCCGTCTCCTAATTATTTAGATAGTGTCGATGGGAGCATAACATGTCAACCATTTATTTTTTAACACCAAAATCTCCAGCCGTACCGTCGTAGTCACCAGGTATGACAATGGAGTCGTCCGTCTCCACCAGGCTCTGAGACGTCGTGTCATTGTCCACGTGTTTGGCAAGCAGCTTCCGCACCGAGCGTCCGTCGCATAGCAACATGGGAACATGTACGTTGACCGGAAGTGCTTGCTCCTCTCCTTGCACCAGGCGGCTTGAACATCGTACCACCTGTAGGTAAGACGGTGAAGAAATTTGAATGTTATAATTCCTTGGTAGAGTAAAATGAAAGTTATGCTTAGTTACTTTTCAGATGTCGGGGTGGGGGGGGGGAGGGGGTGAATACTTAACTGAGTCCTTTTGTTTCATGGGTTATATATAATCGTGTTATAATATAAAATTATGTATATATCAATAGTCGACAGTTTGCCTGTCAATGTCAGGTGATAACAAACACATCTGCAGATGAAAACGTTTCTTAAGCAAAGTAGTAGAAATAAAGGTTAAAATGACTGACTTGTTCCTTTTGCTATGGCCAATGAGGCCAATTCCGGCAAACAAAAGTTTGCTATAATTTGGGCAACTGAAATATCGATTTCCACTTTTGGGTGTACACAGCCTGCAGCCTTCTCTCTCAGTATTTTTCTATTGGTGAAGCCTCAAATAACTTGTTGCCCACTAGCTGTGACTGCTGATCTCTAATTGGGTCTGATAGAAAAAGTAGGTTCTCCCATGTATGTACTTCAGAAACATTTTCAACATGTCTGTATAGCGCATCTTTTAGATGCGACAGCTTTACATTTTCTCGTGGACAGCACAGAATAAAACATTGCTTTTGGGATTCCGAAAACAGGCGTCATTACAATATGGCCAGCCCATCGAGGTTGAGTACTTTTGAGCTTAGAAAACAGACTATCGGTACTTATACCCCCACAACCCTCCCCCCTCCCCAAATCAGAGAACTTCGGTGCCAGGTATTTTGTCCTGCCATTTTATGCCAAGAATTCTCCGTACGCATTTCATGTGGGAAAGACAAAGCTTCATGGCACTGGTTTGGGATACTATCCAGGTCTCAGTACTACCTACTACAGTTGGGAGGATCACAGCACTGTAGACTTTCAACTTTGCCTCAGTGTAAGTGCCACCAGCAATCCCAAACCATTGCTCTGAGTCTTTCCCGGGATGTACTATCTGGTGGTGGTTAACAGTACCGGTAGAAGTGATGATGATGATGATGATGATGATGATGATGATGATGATGATGATGATGATGATGATGATGATGATGATGATTGCTGCTGCTGTTGCGCTACTACTACTAGCACTATTAATTACCTTTACATTAATTTTAATGGTTATATATGATATATGATTTGACGTACACACTATTTTATATTCATACCACTTCTTGGCATAGCCTTCAATTTTCTCTGATCTTCCCGTTTTGTTTTTATCGCACCTTTTGACATTACGACGTGTATGCGCGCACTTTTGTTGCTATAGCTTGTAGTCAATAGATTTTCCATTCTTTTTTGTATCGTGTTCCTGACGAAGCCCTTTACAGGGCGAAACGTTGAAACTATTAAATTGGTAAAATCTACTAAGTCTCAACCCCCTTTTTCTTTTTTTTATTCCCTGCTACCTACAATGGTGATGATGATGATGATAATGATGATGATGTGTGTGTGTGTGGTTTGGGGAGGGGGGGGGGGGTCTCTTTATAATTATTTTTTTGTTCTCATCTTTAATCGAGTATCCACGTCCTTTGTCTGGATACCATATTGTACATTACTCAGCACATCAATCTCCCTTCTAAATGCTCTACATTTGTATTCTACTGTCAATAACGGCGTAAAACATCAAAACTGAATAAATAAATGACACGCACAGTGAAACTATCCCACCTGAGGAAGGGGGTATTGTTTGTGAAGATCCCGCAGAAGGTAGGACTCCTGGCTCCAGTGGGCAGCCTGGTTCACGGGGTTAGACAACACAAGTTGAGACAGGCGGGGGTTCTCACTCTTCTCCAGGACAACCAGTTGACGACCGCGCTTGGCCGGCTTGGCTCTGTGTCTTGGGATCATTGTGGTCGGGCGTCACTTGGGGGGAACTAGGTCACCAAAGTACGTCAAGTTGTGTGATGGAATGATTTTTAAGTTTCCAATTACTTTATTGCTACCCCAGAATAACTAAGTTCTATCAGCTCATAACCTACCTTTTTCGAAATTTGACGTCAAATATTTTGAATTTTCACATGTTTAGCTTGTTTCAAATGCAGTTCTTTAAATATCTTGATAACGACTCAGAATAATCTTACGATTTTGATAGAGCTGATAGATCTAAGAGCATTTGTGAGGCAGCGTGGTGGAATCAGGCTCTCGTCAATTTTTGGGCATGTAGAGTTATTGGTATCATCTTGTTTACTTGTCTTTGTTTGGATGAAAAAAATATCCATTTATCTTGTATACAAGTCGAGATATTTGCGAATGAAGGAGGTGGGGTTACCTGTTTTCAAATGTAAAATTAGTGAGAAAATGGCCGCCAAAGATTAGTTATTTGTTTAGCTTAAGAGTCGGTGGTAACAGAAAATGTACATTTTTTTTTGCTTTTAATCAACGTTTTTCAGAAAAAATCCACACAGGAATTAGTTCTTTAATGGGCATGAAAGGTGTTGAGCCAAAAAGCAAAAATTTGAAAAAATTCACAAGCCTGTGGAAAAATGCCTGTTTCTTCACTTTGATAATTTTGACAAGAGCCTGATTCCACCGCGCTGCCTCACATTTTGTTTCTGACCTCTCATGGCTTTAGTAACTGAAAACAGCCGAAAATGTCAAAAAGAACTTTGTAATTCTGAGGTAGCTTTATGACAACTTATTTGAAACGCACATGATATCCCCCGCATAGTGGTGAATACAGTTGTGTAACTGAGTTACAGCAATGTATTAAACGTGTAAAAGGACGATATTGATTATTAGGCTTCTTCTTTGATTTAAAAATAAAAAGTAAAAATGCTGTATCACTTCTGGCACCCTTATGTTGATAAAAGATAAATCTTATTGTGGAGGTATACTTCCTACTGGAATTTGAGTTGTAATAGAAGCCACAATTTCCTTTTCTAAATGCGTTGACAGTTTCTCTCTCACAGAGGAATTCACGTCACAAAATATCACGTACGAAGAAACAGTTGTGGCCTCTTTCGTCATGCTTGCTACGACAGCTTTTCAAAACTGAGAGGAAAACATGCTTCTCCTCCTGGTCGTTTTTAGTGCTTTCAATTTCGCAGACTGATAAATAAATGGCAAACCCCAAGCAAAACACTTTGATGTCCTGATATTCATGTGGAGTGTGAATTAAGTGGGTCCTTTTAACCGTAATTGAAAAGTTATGTGTATAATAATATAAAAAAATATGAATGAACACATGGATGGTTATTGCAGTCGGGTTGAGGCCATCTGACTTTCAACCTAAGTGATAGTAGAGTGGAGGTCTTTATGAAAACGAGAGTTGAAGTAAATAAAAGCGGTCGTTGTGTGTGTAAAGTTTGTTTTTTTTCTCTGCAAGAAAATTGCCGTTACTGCTGAAAGCTTTGCTATGTAAGCATTGCTTGTTGTTGTTACTGTCTTTTTCATGGAAAGTTTGAGAATGGAAATTCCAATTTAAACACATCTTTATTTTGAGAACTCCTCTTTCAACCACTATGATATATCTATTTGTCCATTATATTCATTTGCTTTCTTCCAGTGTTTATCTGTCCGTCGTTTCTTCCATCTTTTCACCTACATACTATCTACCTCAATTAGTCCTCGAATAAGCCAATTTACTAGTGAACTTAAATGATTGTGTGCCAGCCAGCCCTTTTTGTAAATTAATATTTAAACACTTTCATGACGATAAACAAAGCGCAGGAAAAATTCCAACCAAGGCTTAATATAGTATCAAAAGAGTGTTCGTATTATATTTTGTAGCCTCTGGTATTTTAAAGGGCTCTTTCTTTTAGTATATCAAATACAGACGTCAGCAGAAATAATAACATGGTAATACAAACACCGAGAAAGAGAAAAAGGAACTTACCTACCTTGTAACAAATGAATCTACCCCACATGCTTTTCCCCAGGAAATTCTGGAGGACTGCGCGGAGAGAGTGGGAACCGTGAAATTCTTTGCCCAACCTTATTGTGACTGAAGCCACCAATCCGTGACGAGATTATACCTCACAATTTCGCCTCGATTTTGCTACAGGTTGAGTGTGGAAATTTTAGCTTGCATGACTCCACAATCCAAGGCGGCTCTCCCAACTTCCAATGAAAAAACAGAAAATAAGGAAGTGCTTCTAACTGACTTTCATATTGTGTTTCAGGGCCCATCAGATTTCAGGACCTTGAAAAATGAATGGTAGTAATTACTTTATTCCTCTGAAGTTATAGGATTATCATTTTTACACGTGCCGATCAAAAGGAATTATAATTTAAACACACACACACACACTCACACACACAAACACACACACACACACACACACACACA